TAACTTTCACACGGCAAAGTTGCAAGTCGCTGACTTCCTGGTTCCAGGGAGCTGGGCGTCGACAGGTCTGCCCGCCCGAACTTGCGCCACGGTCTTGGTATCAAAGTTTATGGATGTCGGAAGTTAAGACAATCTTTACGCGGATGTAAAACCGACCTCGAGCCAATCGCCAGCCGTAAGTCGCTCGGTGTATACCGGTGAAATACATCAAAGTATAGGTAGGGAAATAGCTCGATACTTCGATATAGGTTTTTTTCCGACAAATGCTCTTCCTGGAATATAGCTTGACCATAAACAGCGGTATCACTACCGCCGCAATGGTATGTATTAGTTTGGCGATATTCGATAACGGACGACAGCCAACTATCACGGGTATGATAGTACAAAATTTCTATTTGTATATCCCGAATTGAATACTGACCATTTTGCCTAGTTTACCTACTTTCTACAGAGAATATAGATAGCTGTGTAGGTTATGTAATGGTAGAATATGCAGTCGTCCCATTGGATAACTTTAATAATCGTTTCATTTTTGAAATAAGAATAATTCGTTACCGCGTAAGTATTATAAAGATATTTATTTGTGAATATCTCATTGACAAGAGGTTTAACTTTCGAGTTACGAAATCCGAACAATCTAAAATTGACGGTCTGGGTGTCAGGCCACATCTCCGTAAGCAGCAAACTTGTGTGCCTCGAATGTGCACTGTGACGCCAAAGTAAATCATTAATAAGTAGTAAACGAACGATTTTACTTACTAAAGTAACTTACATGTCACCTTCGGGACGATCCAGCACGGTAACTAGGTACATGGATGGGGGCACAATAGTGCTGCCCCGTGTAGCGATCGTCTAATTATGAAGTCTGGAGATATTACTTGCATACACGCATATAAACGTAAACTTAAATCTCTAAGCCATCAAGGCAAAAGCGACAGAAAAAAAAGCAAAAAGCTTCGCAGGCTTTAAAAGATCATAGTCGAATGGTGCAACATGTTCTATCTGTTCCTTGTCTGAATGACAAGGTAGAGCACTCATTATCATCCACCGTACGCGTATACACATATATATATATATAGTATGAATGGGCGCGTATGTGACACTTAAAAGGAGCAGCCTGCCAACAGATTCGTCTTTATGACGGAAGAAATGACGAGACGCTGGACAGCTAGTGAAACAGCTGGAATATCGATACAACACAGCGGCTGGTTGTAGGTACGAGATTGTTGCAGATACGAGGAACCTTCAGCCGCTTTGGGGATGAAGGAGGGTTGGAGTTAGCTACTTAGTTGGGTGCCTGTTGAATTCAGGCATTTCTAAATTTGCGTTCAAAGACTACATATACCGTATTATCTGGAGAAGAGCTACACTCTGTCCCGGCAGCGTACTTCTAAGTCTTCCCTCTCCCCTTTAGAACCTCGTAGGTCAGGGCAGTCAGGCGATTTGAGAGTATAGAGACGGGAGAAGACTAGAAGCGGGGGGCGGCGAATGGGCACTAGGTTAGTGGAGGCAGAGAGCTATAGCACACGCTTAAAACTAGGTGAAGGAGGAAACAGCGTCAGAAAATAGAAGCAGAGACTTGCTTGGAGGTAGACATGGCAAGATGGTAAAGGCAAAGTAGACTTGGCTAGGGTTGACGGGCGAACGCACAGGTTGGACCTGTCAAGGGCAACCAAGAGGCTACGACTAACGCGGGCAAACCGAGGAAGGAAAGCAGAGAATGAACGACTAAGGGCTACGAGCTATAGTTTGCACGCGCGGCATCCGCAGGCAGAGCGTAGTACAGTTCTCCTGCGCCTTGCGCAACCCCCAAGAGGCCGTTCACTGCTTTACTGACTGACGTACGGCGCTCTCTGCCACTTTCTGGCTTAAGCTCTTGCTCGCTTATTCTCTTTCACTTTTTCTTTCGCTCATTCATTCCCTCAGTCACTCTTCGAGAAGTTAAACAACCAACACTTTTTACAAGCCAGCTGCCTATATTAGCAGTGGCAGACCGACAGGATGATATTTGGCAGCACAATGGCAGTCGAGCGAAGCAGAGATTGAAGAAGATTCCTGTGCGTCCCAAACCTGGTGCGTTGCCCGCGAGCGCGCGCCAGCTCAAGTTGTAGCTTATTGGCGCGGAAATTTAATAAAGCCAACGGGTGGACGGAGGCGAGTAAGCAAGGGTGCCACAGCCGATGACGACGGGGACATCAGGAAAAGAAAGACGACAAGACAGGAGCAAAATGGGGCCAAGCTCTTGTGAGCGCTGTGCGTCTCCTGTAGAACAACACCATCGAGTTCTGTACGTGTCCATACTGTCTCTGAGTATGCCCTGCCGTTATGTGTACATTCGACAAGCACATACATCTATGCCGATTGATGCGAAGTAAATGTGTGCTGGTATCCGTGACTCTGGCCGAGCCAATGGGCTGGCGCATGAGGTCCTCAAGAGAAGAATGGATGATGTGCAGGGAGAGAAGGAACACAGAGAACGTAAGTGAGGTTTGGTAATGACTTGAGGAAATGTTGTACTCTGTTGTTTCCTTTAGTGAAACGGGCAGTTTCTTGACCTTTCCGATGAGTTTGGGCGCAGTATCGGAGTGGGTGATTTGTTGGTAAACGTTCGAGGGAAGCAACGATTGGGCTTCGATCAGGAACGACTGCCTGTGGAAGAGCAATAAGTCCAATAAATGTGTTGATCATTTTCCCCACTGCCGTAATGTTCGTCGTTTCTTTCCCTCCGCGTTGCTTCTTGCTCCGCTGACGTTGTTGCCGTTCGATTCTCTACCATTGCGCCCTGTTTCGTGGAACAACTTCCTGTTCAGTGAAGTAGAGTCTGGACCAGCCTAGACTCTACACAAACTGCTTTCAGACGGCTGCGTAAATTTAATATAATTTTTTCAAGACAGACGCGTGAGGCAGCTAAACGCACAAACACACATACATAGATCGACGCATGTTGGCAAACACCCGCGAACAGTTCGAACAAGTGAAAGGAGCAGTAGTTAAAATGACGCAAGCAATACTTCACACAGTTCGCTCGGTCCGAGTGAAACTATCAGGCGGTTTCAGCTGTTGGTGGCACGGTGGCAGCCCCCTTTTTTGCAAAACAGTATCAGTTGTCGTAGCTAAAACATCAAAATCATTGAATTTTTGGCTGCGACCACCGCCGGCAACTGTCATCTTTCCCGCTGGATCACAAATCAGTCGGACAGCAGAGGCGGGAGGAGGTGGTAGGAGGCGACAAATCACGCAACGGAAAACAAGGGGAAGCGGTCGAGTGCCGCTGCCCGCCGCTGATGGATAGTGCGTAGCCTACAACGCACACTCTGCTATGCAAACGCAAAGTATCGTGTGCATCCTAACCGGCGAATGAACATATTGCAACGTCACGCCTGCACACGCTGCAACTAAGGCCAGTACGGAAGCATTGTGACAATGAGGAAAAACAAAATTGCATTTTCGCACAAAGCGTGACGTTGCAATATGTTCGTTCGTCGGTCCAAATGCACACGACGCTTTGTGACAACAGCCGTCGTTCTGCTGCTCACAAACGGTCAGACCTTGTTCCAGCATCAGATGCCCCAGCGAAATGTCGAAGTCTGGTTACACTAACAAAGGTCCTACTGAATCACTGTAACGGGCGAGAGAGACCGTGCGAAGGGTTACGAAATTGGCTTAAAATTCCCATTTGTTTGGAATCAATGCACTGAACCTGTAGAATACACCTACATTAACTATTTCTATTCCAGAATTATAGCTAGCTAAGATTTCTTGCAAAATATTTCTACACATGCTGCTCTATTTCTTGTCGTTGCTCGAACAAAGCTTGGGAGAATTGAACGCAACCGTACAGCCTGTTGCGTTGCAGTCTTTGCAGATACTTTTATAATGTTTTCACCTCTATCATCCTTAATATTGAACAAGTAACAACGAGATTGTTTGTATTCGGTAGCAGGATATCACAGATGTGTAAATCATGTAGAATCAGAAAAAGGACAATGTTGCATCTAATAGCAATAGGCCAACGATTGGCGAACTGTTAACGGTAGATCTGTTGATTAGGTGATTAATAATTATCGCGGTATCGGCTAGAAAGCGTGCTATTTCCGTTCTTTTATTCCAGAAGCTTCTTTTACGGCAACACACGTCTGCTTGAGTACTAAATGCTATCATATATGCACTTGGCGAGAAAACACCTACTACCTGATATTCCTGGCTCCATAATAGAGTATGTTTCATACCGTTTACCTTGCCAGTTACGACATAAAAGTCGTTACTACGATTACAGTTATCCGGTTCCTGATAATAAAATAAAACAGTTTCGAAATACAAGTTAGTAACAGGACCTATTCGAGGATTGAATTGATTTATCCATCTTGAACAGGCCCAAATTATAGGCCAATTCAAATTTGTATCAACAAGGAATTGACCAATATCGCGTAAATATCGTCATGGATATAAACCAACTCTAGCGTTTCTTACCACTATAAATTAGTGGTATCGTCTAACGGTAAGTCAACAATCAAACCACACCAGGTATCGCCCGCCTACAGTGAACGACAGCGGAAATTCCAGCTCCTAGAATTTTCAGTTCAGAACTTCCAGGATGGTATAGTTTCCTTGAAAAAGTTCTGGTACAGTAACCACCTTACATATGTAATGACTAAAGAAATCATTGGCACAGATCACATCCTACACCTCTCAATGATATCGTCCATCTCCCATTCAAAAATGTTTCAGCATCGTTTAACTCCATAACGTTTGCAGCGTTTCGCTGCCTCTAATAGAGGAAGCATCGTCGCCACGATCAGCATGAATAACAGCATCATGAAGATGAAACACCGTAAAGTGAATGAAATACCGCTACAGCTTATGCCCTTGCCTTCGTTATAGCTCTCGCCACTCGGGAAAGGGTAGTTCTGCTCGGAGAGTAGCTTAGGACACAATCAGATCTTCGCGGCAGGCGCCGAGAAAGCGGCCTGCTAGAAGCATTGTGTACCGTTCAGCGACATTCACGCGCGGTTTCGTAGCGTTATAGTGTGCCTCGTAGTGCGTTCCTATTCAAGCCAGGGGTCGAACAACCATGTGACGAGTTAAAGAGTATAATTTTCGTCCCTTCCCAACGGACAAAGGATATAGTGAATGTGAAGTGCTATCAAGTGCTGACTGATACGATACAAACGAGAGTCATGAAATTGTTGGCAACGGTGGCGATTTTGCTAGGAGTCGCGCTCCTTACAGAGGTCGGTCTGGCGAGCATAGTAAGATCGGCGGATCAAAGACACAGACAAAAAAGATCTTTGAAGAACTTTGACGATACTGAGGAACTATTCACAATTCCGTTAACCTATCGGAGCAAACAGGCCCGTCGGGCGAGTGACTCAAGTGAACATCAATCGTGGGCATCGCTGTTTCAAAGTGATCAGGCACCGATGGATCCATGCCAAGATGAGCGCGGAAACCCGCGACGTTGTATACCCGACTTCGAGAATGCCGCGTTCGGGCGAAATGTAACGGCTTCTTCGACCTGCGGCAGTCCGGCTGCTAGACTCTGCCAGGTGACGCCTTCAGGTCCCGGAGTAACGGGAAGTAGTTCAGGAATACCTGGTGTCGACGAAGAACTAGTGCGAACATGCCAGGAGTGTGACAGCTCAACAGCAGCAACGAGCCATCCGGCATCACTTTTGACCGACGTCAACAATCCCTCAAAACCAACCTGCTGGATGTCTGAACCATTTAATGTAAACAGCCAACAAGAGCGTAATGTCTCGTTAAAACTTTCGCTCGGTAAAAAATTCGAGCTCACTTATGTGTCATTGCAATTCTGTGGGTCAGGCAAGCCGGACTCATTGGCCATTTACAAGAGTAGCGACTACGGGGTGACCTGGCAACCATTCCAATTTTACTCAACGAACTGTCAGTTAATCTACGGCCGAGCTTCACGTTCACAACGACACATCTTGCCTGAACGTGAACATGAACCGCTGTGCTCCGATCCGAATGCGGACACCAACGCCCAAAGCAATACTCGCATCGCGTTCTCTACTCTGGAAGGACGACCTTCCGCTTACGAGTTCGACCAGAGTCCTCTGCTGCAAGACTGGGTAACTGCCACCGACATCCGCGTTGATTTCCGACGACTTCTCGATCCTAGGCAGCAAATCCTGCCGGATCCTCCTCGGAAGAAAAAACGTAGAACCGCCGTGTCGTCTTCTGTTTCCACTTCATCAGTCTTGTCATCGTCGTCCTCATTAACTGGAAGTGGCACAATAACCTCTGACGACGACCGAGACAATGAACTTCTTACGGATAACAACAACAATCCCGCGAGCTTACCGGAATGGAGCAATGAAAGCCTTAGCTTAAACGCGGCGGCATCGCCACAGGAAGCTCTCAAGCAGCAAAACAGCTATTATTTCTATTCCCTTGCAGAACTCGCCATTGGGGGCCGGTGCAAATGTAACGGCCATGCTTCCCGATGTGTCAAGCGCGGTACTAGCAGTACCAGTGGAACTAGCAGTGCCGTTGCTTATACTAAAAAGGATTCGAATGGATTTTCCATAGGCAAAAATAACAAAAACGATGCTGACCGTGAGCTCGAATGTGAGTGTCGACATAACACCGCCGGGAGGGACTGTGAAAAATGTGCACCATTTTACTTTGACAGGCCTTGGGCCAGAGCTACCGCGAGCGACGCAAAAGAATGCCGACGTAAGTATCTATTTACGTCGTATAGTATCTGTAAAGTGTACGTATCGTACGTAGCCTGTGTGCTGTCTAGGTAAATGACGCTTGAACACGGCGTTGTGTGTACAAGAGTATGATATAAGTGGGTGCTTGTGATGGTTAAGTTGTACTACATAAACATATCTGAGGATGTTGTTTATATAGAACGCAGGAGCACAAGAAGGCGCACGCCGCATATGTAGCATTGTCTTCAAACGAGATTCATATTTATGTATGCATATATATGCTAGCACTTCTTACGGGTTTAGCATGTCAGCTGTGTGTTAACTTAGTTTACGTTCGTTCTCTTTGTTTCGCTTTTTTTCTGTACATGTGCATAGGGGGTCCAAAGGGGCATTCACTCACGATAGCGATTTTGAAGGGTAAAAAAACATTTTTGTAATTTTCTAAAACATTTTATATGAGAAGTCCAACCATACGGTACTTGCAGATGGGCTGTAATATCTCGTTTTGGTTTGCTCCATTTAATGCGATTAATGTTTTAACATTAAGAGGTTATCTGAAAGCCGCCGATCGAGCTGGGCGGTTTCAATTAAATATGTGTTCATTTTGTAGAGCTTTCGAAACGGAAAGAACTTTGGAGGCATGTATGACTTTGTCGACGTCAATTTTTTTTAAAATAGATTTGAAACATGTCCTTAAAAAATAAAGCAAAAAAATGTATAGATCGAGAACGAGTATTTTAACAGGCGACGACCAAGCTTTCCTTTTAGCGCTATTCATCACTATTTTTTTGGTACAGATTCGAAGTGAGGATGAGAATTTCACCTTTAAAAAGTACTTCACTCCGCAGCTCTTCCTTCACTTTATCAGTCATCCACTATGCACTATCCTATTTACGAACAACTGAAACACGTTGTTAGTCTGATTATATGAATGCCATGCTAGGTGTTATCCGCTCCACCTCTTAAGCTTATATCCTCTTAGACGCGGGTCATCATCAAGCAAACAGTCAACTACGTAGAGGAACTGACCCCGCCATTTCTGCAGGGTGAAGTACACCCCTCAAGGGCAAAAGCAACGGTCGCTGGGTAAGAATGACAATCACTCGAACACCGTTCCCTAGGCAGACAGCCAAAGCGTTGAGACATGGCCATAGTAGTAACGATGGGGCGTTTTGGGGGAATCGCATTGGAAATGTCTGAGGTGATGGATTAAGTGTTCGAAGAAGTAAAACCAGCCAGCGGAGCAGACAAGATCTGACAAGTAGGGAAAGGAAGAAAAATTAAAAGCAAACGAAAATGTCGGATGGAAAATTTGGTGTCATTTTTTTAAGCGTCATAGAGCAAGGCAGAAAGCAATAGGTAGAAAAGGGAAAATAAAGCGATAACCTGGACGAAAAATAAGGTGACGGGGACGAGCTTGACAACACCGACATAGAGCAGTATCGAGTGATTGTGACAGGCGATCGGTCCTTTGGTTGGTCGATCCCCAAAGAAAGCAGAAAAAGGCAAATCCTCAAGACGGATCATTCAGTTTCAATTTGAGAAGGGACTGAGCGCACAAGCTACCGAGAGAAGCTCAATTTCTCCTTACTGCTCTGACTTTTATAACATTATACGAGCTTTGCACGGGCGTATCCACGCACGTTTCTAGTTAACATTGCCGTCGAATGACGTAGTCTTACGTATGGAGCGGTGGCATTCGAGTCGTCGACACGAAACGCTGTTCGAAGTGTACCGCAACTCGAGCATGGTGTGATGACAGAGACGCGTAAATAAAAGAACACGCTGGAGCTGACAAGGCAAAGGAATCAAGTTAACACTGTCGACGAAATATAGAACGAGCCAGCGAGCTAAATAGGCACAGGTGGTTAGGTGGGCCAAACAAACTTTTCAGCGGGGCTTTAGATAAGCGGATAGCTTTGCTCCATCTGTTTGGGTCGGTTTTGTCGCAGCTGCAGCCGCCGACGTTCCCGACTACGTACTGCAAGCGATTAACAAACGCAATGGCGAGAAGTAATAGCATGAACGGCGTGCAGCGCCATCAAAACTCCGGCGTCTCCGAGCGCGCTGTGTTAGACATGTCGTGAGCTAATACGATCGCGAAAATAGCAACGGAAACAGCAATCCGTTAGTGATGACACCAAACGCGGTCATCACATCGGAAGGCGTCAAGAATACCGTATCTGTTGTGATTGAAATTGCTTGTCGAGCGGCTCTGACGAAGCGGTTCAGTAAAGTTCTCAAAAAGACGATACGAAAATGGAGGCAAAAAGAACGACATGTCCTCGTAACTGAGATTAAGTGGGTGGCTGTTTCAAGCGACGAAACAATGTAGAATAATAACATCGATCCTGAGAATTGGCCAAATCAGTTTGGATTTAAGACGTAGACATCAAGGCCCGCTGCCCTCAAAGTTCGTGCACTCCATTTGCGGTAAACATGGCAATCATGACAAAAGCGATTATCTACTCTAATATCGGTAGTCTTGATCGATTCGTGTTTTTATAAAAGAAAGTTTCAACTTTGGTTCAAACTTGGGCCTGTCAATCGAAACGCTGGTATGTGTGAGCATTGAAAGAAGCTCATTGCCATTGAATTTCGTTTCGCGCACGGTACTAACATGACTGTAATGCCTGATATGCCTGTCTTTTCGTCCTCTTCGTGGACGGCTTGTTCCTAGTAGGTAGGGTTTTCTATGTAAATGTCCAGTATCTCCTTACCTCGTGTCCATTTTGACGTCATCGTTTCAAATGCTCTATATGTCGTACCATTGGCGTGTGCGCAATACGAGAAAAACTGATCGACGACTGACGACTGGAACAATCGATGAGTGCGAAAATAATTAACACTTTTTAATTGCTTTTATAGCTAAACACCTGTATGGCTTTAGTAGTTCAGAGCTGATGAGCGTCAACAAAGGGTTATTAAACTTATGCAGCCCCCCTTGGCAGAAGCGACAGAGACACGCTTAAATGGTTTTTCAGAAATCTACGCCTATAGAAGATGTTGGTCCCTAGCGCAGCTGTTATGTTCGGTGAGCTAGCTCTTTGGGACTGTGTAGACATATATTTCCCCTATCAAAGTCTATATGCTTGTATGCATAGCATCTATGAAAGTTCCTATAGAAGCTGTATGGAACAAAGTTCACTTAACCCTACTGCGGACTAGAGCCGTTGTCGCGGAAGGATAAATTATGGCAAGGTATTCGATAAAACCCTTAAGCTATGGTCTAGGAAGCTATTACTGGACGATTTAAAGATCTCTGAGAATATATCGACCAAAAACGCTTTGAGGCTGAGCCCTATAGCCAGTAATGATCAAAGCTGAAAGGCAAATGCTTATGTTCCAAGGCACGATTCCGACCTATAATTTTGACTAGAAAAGGCGACACTTAATTTAATGACCAGTTAAATGAGAAATGATTATTTATTGATCCGTATGGAAATTGTTATACCGTAGCTTATATATGTCTATGTTCATTAGGCTAATTTCTTATCTTGTCGTAAGTTAGTATTTTCACTTCAGTAGTTTATATAGACCCATTTTTCCTGTCGCAATTAGCCCGCGAAGTGATCTTGTGCGCGATAGGGTTTTAATGAAACGCAGTTTGGGTCTTGTCTACTTTGAAAAATATAGTTGTGCTAAAAATTTGATGAATATTTTTCTTATTACATCGAGCAAATGTTCCTCTCGTGTTTTCTGGTTAGGGTTGCAGTTGTGACGACGTTCCCTAAGAAAAACCTTAAGACCAATAGGTATATAATGTGTGGAACTTTCGACCTATTGACGATTGTGCTTGTTTGCTAATTTCGAGAAAGTACATCAGCTGTTAGATCACTGCTAAACTTTGCGATAACACCTCTGTAATGCAGGGTTGCTGACACCGGTAACCCATTTCGCGACCCCTCTGTTGTCTTCTATTTAATCGTTTCACTACGATGGGCATCTTCATAATGTCTTACGCATTACCCCTTCTTCCTCGCGTTACCCTCGTCGATTCCTCGCAAATGTTTACATGTCACTAGATGGCTTGTGTGATGTTCGTATTTTCAGCTGAAAATACTATATCATCATACAGCAGAGGTAAACGTACCAACGTAAAGTAACTAACAGTTATCGTACCTGGACTACCCTATTTTCGCTCGTTCGCTTCACGCGTTCATCCCACAGCTGGAAAAAAAATATCGTGTATCCATGATACTGTGACGGCAAAAATCTTCTCTACATACTGTTTAACCGTAACGGCAAAAAAATGCCATTCAGCATACGAACGATATGAAAAGTCCACGGTATTATGTTAAAAACAAGAGATAGATAGCGAGGCAGGGAGAGAGAGCCTAGACGAAAACAAATTAACATATAATAATAACGAGACAACGTTCCGAATGCGCCTAGCTGCCATGCGTACCTTTATGGAATAGCGAAGCAGGCGTGCCTATTCAGTTAATAAGCGTCATAGGTAGTATTTCACGAGTCCAGCGTTGCATACTATATCATTAAGAAAACTCGTTCATTCTTCTACGCTTATAGCACCCTTCGTGTATTAAATGATTTATCGAGTTTGGATTTCTACTTATTTTCTACTTAAATAGCAACAATACAACTTATGTGGTCCGTCATCATACCTGTTTGTCAGACGCTGTCAGACCATACTATGGATCACTAACTATATTTAAATAGAAAACCTGTCGACGGTATCGTAGGCTCAGACTGTCCCTATTGACTTTTTGTCTAAGGTCTTGACCAGTTAACAATAATTGTACAAACGAACAAAAATGCCCATTTACTAATCACCTTAGTGCTCTTTTGCACGTTAGCTGGATGCCGTTTCGTCGCCTCAGGCAGCGATTCTTCGTACCTTTCAAATCTAATTCAGTTACATAGCTGATTCTATATGTTGCAGCGCTATGGAAAAATGGTTTTAAATTTGTTTTCGTAGTGCTGAACTTCAACACAATAAGCTGTTTGTTGGCATCGAGGTTCTATAACCTTGACCAGTATAGTAGGCTCAGGCTAGCC